ATGATAGTGAAGATGATGTTTCTTTTAATACAAATCAAAAAAAAAGAAAAACAAAGAACAATCATGAGCAATTACCTCAAGTAGTTGAACCAGTTAGTGAAGATCGTAGAAGAGAATTAAATCGAGCTTTAATAAAGGCTTTTATTTGTTGTGGTATACCTTGGGTAGTTATTGATAACCCATGTTTTATTAATTTACTTAAATTGTTAGAACCTGGCTATACTCCTCCACATAGAGATATTTTAGCTAATCGGTTATTAGATGAGGAACTTGCAATTGTTACAGTTAATCTTAATAAATCTCTTGAAAATTCAACAAAATTTAACATTAGCAATTGATGGCTAGACAAGTCCACTTAATGATTCATTATATAATTATATTGTTTCAACACCTGAGCGCAAGGAATATCTTATTGCTATTCAAGATTACTCAATGAATTCTCAAACAGGAGTTTATCTTGCAAATAAAATTAGCATGGTTATAAAAGAAGTTGGGTCTTCAAAATTTGTTGCCATAGTATCGAATAATGGATCAAATATCTGATTAGCAAGACAAATAATTAATAATACTTATTCACAGGTTATAAACATTCAATGTATTGCTCATTGGTTTAATTTGATTTCAAGTGATCTTGTTGAGATTCCTGCAATTAAGTCTACTTTAGCAAATGCAAGTTTAATTATTAATTTTTTTAAAAAATCTCATATTTCAAGTCAATTACTTCATGATGGAATCAATAATATGAATATTCGAGGTGGAAATTTAGAATTATTTACTAAAACACATTGGGCTTCAGCATTTAATACAACTAATTCTATTATACGGGTTAAACCTGTTTTGACAAAATTTTAGAAGAAAATTGAAATTGTATAACTAATAATATAAATTATAAACTATTAAAAGATGAAGAAGAAACTTTTTTTAGCACTTGTCGATGTATAGCAATAATATTTCATCCAATTAAAGAAACAATTACTTCATTAGAATCACGAATAGCTAATTTAGCTAATTGTTTTATTAATCTAGTAAAACTAAGTGCTATAATTAAAAAAATTCCTGCTAATAATTTATTTAAGAAATCTGCAATTAATATTTTTAACAAAAGATATACAAATTTTAATTTAGATATCTATATATTAGCTTATTATTTGCATCCTAAATACCGTGGAACTGGCTTAAAAACTGGAAAATTTTTAGATATTTGCAAATTAACTTTAGAACTTTATTCAAAGCAATTTTATGATGAAGCAGATTATAATGAATTAATGAATCAACTTTGTCAATATAAAGCAAAAGATTCACCATTTGATTTTACATATGAAAGTTATCAAACTCCTAAATTATAGTGGACTATAATTGGTGATGACTATTTACATTTACAAAATGTTGCAAAAATGATTTTTTCAATTATGCCTTCACAGGCTTCTTGTAAGCAAAGTTTTTCAATATTAAAATGGTTTTATGGAGATAAAAGAACTCGACTACAACCTACAAGATTAGAAGCTATAACAAAGGTTCATTCATGGTATCTTGCAAATTTAACTAAAGAGCTTAAATATTATAATAAATCTCTTTCAATAGAAGCTATTTACAATAATGCTATAGAACAAACAGCTTTTGCTAATTGGGAAGATACTTGGTAACCAATTAGTGAAGAGGAAGCTATTAATTTAATAGAATCTCAGTTACAAGAGAATGAAAAATTAAAAATTGAAGAATTAATTGATTTGAATAACTCTATTTTTATGGAAGATAATATTGAAAATATAAGCAATAATAGATATATTGAAGGTTGTGGAAATTTAAATTTTAGTATTGATAATATTATAAATGATTTTATTAATACAACTAGCGAATCAAATACATATTGAACTTATTAAACATTTTATTACAAATTGTATGCTAGAAAATATTGAATTATGTATGCTAAAAGATATTGAATTATTGAACTATTAAATATGCAAAAGTCAATCTTAGAATTGATTAAATTTTTGAAAAATTTTATCTTTCTATTTTATATTACTTTTAATCCTTTGATTTGATCTTCATTTTGATTTCATTCCTATTATTTTTTTTTTTTATCTATTATTGCTATTTTTTTTTATTCAACTTTATTTTTATATATTAAATTGTTGTATTTAAATAAATTATAATAAAAATATCTTAAAAAATACTTAAATTAAATATAGTATATTCTTACCCGGAAGTTTTTTTGAATTCATTCCACTTTTAAATTTTAAATAGTTATTACTGTATTATATAATTTCCTTTTATATACTGTATGTAGTTAATTAATAGTAAAGTTTTTAGCACAGATAAATAATTAAACCAAAAAAAATTGTAACTAAAATTTGTGTATAAATACTGTGTAACTTTATTACAGTATTTAGAGTTTTAATATTATATTTGTTTGGGATTACGGCAAAAGTCCCAAACTAGTTTAGCCAGTTTGGGATACGGCAAGTGCCGAAACTACTAGGTTTGGGTCGCATCACTAGTTACGAATTGATCGTAACATCGTTTACCAAAAAGGGAAGTACTATCTTTCAGGACAAAATATTCTAAGCAAGAATTTTTCTCAATACTGATAGTAGATGAAGAAGTATACGCATGAGGTAAAGTTTATCTCATGTAATAGCAACAATGTACTCCCAATAAAAGATTATTGAATTTCTGATGCTGCCTACTTTGAATAGCTCATAATTTGACTTAAACGTATGATCGTCCAATATATTTTAAATTTTTGGGAATCCTAATTATAGACAATTCTCTTTCTGTTTTGAACAATCGGTGATTTAAGCCACAAATTGAACGGGCTGTGTAGTCTACAAATTATAAGGGAGCGGTGTGCGGCTATGTAACTTTACATAATTAGGCTAATGCGTAGCGTTGTGGCACGGAGCTCATTAAAATTACCATTCCCGCTCATGTAGCATATTTAGAAAATATTCGTTTATTTCGAACAGATCTGTGTTGACTATTTGTTCTGATTGGGCAATAAACAAATGATTTCACTGGAAATAAAAAAGTATCTGGAAAAATGTGTATCAGGTGGGGTCCGGAAGGTTAGCATGAACATCCGGAACTAGAAAAAAATTACTAGTTATTATACATGTAATATATATTACGTATTGTCATTAATTTACCATTCCTTAAATTATAATAAGGAATGATATTTTTCGTATGTTTCTTTTTTCAGCAAAAAAAAGTGATGAAATTTGTTACAAGAATATAATTTCGTCAATTATTAGCAAAAACCATTAAATCAGGACCTGATAACCCATCGAATATATAGAATCTATCTATGTCGTTTCGCCAAATACTTACGTCAGCTTAAGAGTCGAGTAACTAGTTAAAAATTATAATGACTAAATGAGAAAATATGCAAACTTTAGCCCTCTATAAAAGATTTAAATCAGGTTGGTATTTTAAATATTTCAATAATTTTACGCAGCAATGAAGATTATTAAGCGTATAATATCTGTTGAAAAGTTTCTTCATTAAAAATAATAGCCAACTTCTCTCTGGTATCGAATATTTAAAAAATGGATACGAAAAATTCGAATCCGAATCTTTGTCGATAGGCAAGCTAATGTCTTATCTATTTCACCGAAATTTCTCGTTACAGTCAACGAATATTCAGAAAGAAAATTTCGACCAATCTGAAATGAAGGGGGCGTAAAAAAGGATCATTTGCAAAAAGAGTACATAGTTTTTCGAAGAACGTCACAAAAACAGCCAAGTAGTTAAAAAGAAATTAGCTATCAGAATATTGTTTCTATGCATTATATATGATTGTAAATTATTGTTTATATTAAAAATCTTAATAAAAAAAAATTCGAAGGCTTATTTTCTGGACCATCACCCGAGCCCAATGTGGTACACATTTTCTGGGTGCATAAAAAATCTGGTCTGTTAATCCTCCATTAGAGTTTTCCGCTTCATTTCGGAAAGTTATTTAATAATTTGTTCGCGCACGTATTTCCCTGTTTGCTGCAACTATCTGTGTGAACTGCCACAGAATACTTTTGGTTCATTCCTGTGAAATCCATTTCTCAAGATCTGAGCCACGCTTTTCATTGGTTTTTTTTAAAATAATAATTGAGTCAAGCTTAGCATTTTTGGCATTCTTAACGGTGGGAACTTTTTATCTTGTGAAAAAAAAAGAAAAGATCATATGTTTTAAATTTACAACTTTGAATAATTATTTAATCAATTGAAGATTTTTATGATTTTTATTGAGTAAGTAAACAATCCTATCCATTTAAGTTTTGAATTTGCATTATTTACCAGATGATCAAATCGATCAATCTAAATATGTTAATTCTCGACATGCGATCTTTTCCCAAAGAATTCCTGATCATAGACTTATTGGTCATGTGCTTCCTAAAGATTGTTTATAAATTATCGTTATTTATGGCAAATAAATGAAAATTGAAAAGATCGTATGTCCAAGAATTCGATTCAAATAATTTTTTATATAGTGATACTGATCTTTGATATGCATTACTCAGCATATAAACGCGAAAGTCATGATAATCACGCTGCGGAGAACACGTCCGCTTGTCATAACGACATTATTCAACATAATTATATATTTAATAGTTTCGACACAATCACAATCAGTTTATCGAACGGCTACTATACCTGAACCACAAGAAAATGGTCTTGTTTATCCTGTAAACTTAGTCACTTACCCCAATGATACTATAGTCATTCGGTTATTTCGTAATTTAACTTGTCCAATTAGTAGTAATATTATGACCCCACTTCGTTTCATTTCTCCAACTTTGGTGCTTACTATTACAAATCTAAATTATGCTTTTGATCCTGTTAATTATTGTCCTACAAATCAAACAAACACCACATTATCAAATCTGATGAATATTTTTGCGATACCAGGTATGTTCTTAAAAGCTAATCGAACCATACTTATATAAACAATTCCTAAATATATTCTCTATTATTTATTTTTCAGATAATTTTTTATTGATACGTTATTGGATAGTTCCCAGTAGTTCACCTAATATGGTTCAATATTATGGACTTATTGTATCTTCTAATGGCACAATAACAAATAGGTAAGGTAATATTTTTTGATACACTTGCTGATGGTTATTCGGTAATTGGAAATTAATATCACTTTCTAAATCAGGGACACGCCAGTACAATTGAGTAATCCTATCAACATTACCAACGCGACCGCATCTAATACTCAGATTGCAACCTTAGATAATAATAAGAAAGGAATTATTTTTGTTTCAAGTTTTGATAAAACAACAATTAATTGGACAAGATTTACCTGGAATTCTAATGAGTATTATATCATATTTATTGTTAATTTACTTTATATTATTCACGTAAACCATTTTTAACAAGCCGTACGTTTGATGATAGAAACACTTTGACAAACGATGTCCACGACGTTATTACTGCACCTTCCAATTTTCGGATAGATGATTTTAAGAGCTTTGCTACGATAGATGGAGGTTATCAATTAGTTTACTCTGTTAGTTTAAAAAATCAAGAACTTATATTACCGAACTCCTCAACTCTAAGTCCCACAACATTAATTGTTTTTTCGACCGTGTTAAGATCTGATTCTTCTAATTTTACACCTCCTGTTATAATATATCAATCGTTAATATCAGAAGCAACAATTTCCATAAGTAATTGTCAAAGTAATTCTGAAAATCGTCCTGGCTATTTATGTATTTTACATGGCCAAAGTACTCCACAAAGTTTAACACCCGGAGTGAGTTTTTGGGAAATGTTATCTTTTATTTCTACAGGAACTGATGTTTCATCAGTGGATTTACCCAAAAATTATGTAAACGGAAATGATGTGATCACCTATAGCTCGGCCTATCTTTTACATAATGGTGGCGTTTTAATGTTAGGTCAAAATCAAAATGGTACTTTACAGGGATCAATTTTTAATGATAACGGTGCATTTGTGCAAGATTGGGGCTTACCTCTGTCTCAAGGGATGATAGCTTCATATACTGAGGGTAGTAACACCGTGTGGGCGGTTGCACCTTCAATAAATAACTCTTGGTCAGTGTATTCTATCGGTTTGCCTTCATTTCTACCTAGTGGTAAGGTTTATAATTACCGATATCACACTATATAAACATCTGCCAAGTGTCAATATATCAATCTCACGTTTTTTTTATTTTTATTTTTAGATGTCTTATTAATGAATCCTAGCATTCAATCTATAAACCCGACCGTCAATTCATCAATCTCCAAAAATACATCTTTCATTACGATAACATTTCGTCAAGATGTTGCTCCGTCAGTTGCAAATATAACCATATACTACCACACCAATGACTCTGATAATTTGCGCCAGACGCTTTCGGCCAATTCATCCGAAGTCCATTTTATTAATAGAAGGCAAATAGTAATTGATGTATTGCCAAGTACTTTTAATCAAGAAGGAGCGAATTATTTTATCACGATTGATCCGAATTTCGTAGCGTTAAGGGAATCTGGTGAACCGTTACCAGGCGTAAGCAATGGAACTTGGTCATTTTTTACTGAGAGAACTACCAGCACTTTCACAGGTATGTAATTTTTTAACATTTATAATTCTTTAATTAAAGAATAATAAAAATCACATTTTTTATTTATTTATTTATTTATTTTGTTTGTTTGATATTTTTTGATATTTTGATATTTTTTGATATTTTTTTCTTTGTTTGATATTTTTTGATATATTTTTTTTATTAGACAATATCGATGTGGTCTTCCGTATAACAGATGATGAAACTATTTATTTTGAAAACTTGAGTGAGGAAAACAAAACTAGTTTCTATGATGAACTGATCACTTCTTTTGCAAATGCATTATCTGTAAATGTCTCAAGATTGTCTATACAAAGACGATTTCAACATGATGCTAGTGCAAATGAACCATGGCCAATTCTATTTCGTATGACGCTTGTTGCAGCTACACAAATAGATGAAATAAATACACAAGATATGCTTGAAAGTTTGGCATCCTTGGTTACTAATAAAAGTATTACGAGTCTTATGCTTTATAATAGTACTGCATCCTTGGATTCGAATTATGGATTGATACGACTAAGTAAGCTTTTGAATTTTTTATTTTATTTATATCCAAATTATGAAACATGAAATTTCAATCCCTGACGAAAATATTTAATTTTAATAGCGAGCATATGGGAGAGATACCGATTTGAAATTGTGGGTGTGATATTTATTATCTTTGTTTTATTTGTCTTAATCTTTTTGTCGAATCGCGCACATCCGGAGGTAATTATATTTCTAGTATTTCTGGCGCATTTTTTATTTGAATTCATATTTGTTAACAAGTTTCAACGTTTGAATATATAAGGGAAGCAGCATTGAACTTTTTAATTTTGTTTTAATAATGTCTGATTTTATTCTTGATATTTTTTTCCTCTTCACCCGAGCTAATGACGTACCTGTTCTATTTCTTCCAAGGTAATTTTCAGAAATTTAACTTAATGTTTATTGATTCAAAGAATATGATTTAACTCTTTTCTAAATTTTTGCTAAAAAATAGTCTTCTTATAATATTATTTGCGATTTGTGTCAATTTTTTCATCACTATGTTTATATTCTTTAAGGAATTTTATGGAAATGACAATTTTCACCAATGGGCAAAACAAAATGTTTTCGTTTCTTCAATATTTATCGTTCTGAGTTACTGTGATATAGAATCCTTAGATTTTGTTTCTTCAGATATTGCAAATATATCATGGGTTCAAGCGCCTTTCTCCAAAGGTGTATATGAAGCCTTGTACATAAGTACCTTTATTGTTATGTTTATTGAAGATATACCACAATTCATAATTCTGGTATGTTTGAGTTTGTGCAAAGTAAATTTTTTGTCGAAATCTGTGATTAAAACATTAAATACTCAATAATTTTCTATTATTTTTTTAACTTAGGTTATATATTTGCAAAGAGTAGTCATAACGAGATTCGTTCCACTTATTACCGTATTTACATGTGCACTAATAATAGTAACAAACATTGTTAGTCATGTATATGATTGCATAAACATGATTTGGGATTCAAAAAATGCTGATACATCAAAAAAGACATATAAAAAATGGTGGGAAGTTGGAAAAGCTTCAGCTTCAAGACGAATATCTTCTCGTAAGCATCCTCATTTCTTGAGCGGATTTGTTCCAATTCAACCTGATCCAGCCACTCAGGTTGTGTCCCCTGTATCAAGTATTGGTGTTGAATCTAGTGTGTAATATGGATATTACTATCTTAGCCTACACTTGTCAAATTCGACAAGTTGTTATTCTATAGTCGAAATTTAAAAATTTATTTGAAAAGAAAATATGAATGCAAAATTAGTGAATTCGTAAAATTTTTCTTTCTAATATCAGAATTATTCTCTTTTAAAGCAAAAAAATATTAAATAAAATTTCAAGTATAGTAATAATTTTTCAGAGCTTTTATTTGGTTTTGTTTACTAAATAAAGTCTTATTTAGAATCATTAAGTACTAAAAAAGATTTGTTATTATTGTCATCGTAAAAACCAGTTGAACACTAAATTGTACAAATTTAGAAGAAAGTATACAATATTGGGCAAAAATTTGTGAATAACGGCAATTTGGCTCAACCGGACAAATGATATTGGCTGTCAGGTGCCGCGAAGCGGCACTTGTCAGCCAATCATTTGTCCGGTTGAGCCAAATTGCCGTTATTCACAAATTTGCCCAATAATGGTGTTATCCGATAATTTATGATCATGATTGGTAGGGAGTCACTCGCTGAGTTTTTTTTTTTGAATATTGGAAAAACATAATTACATCGTAACACATGAAAAAAATAACAGAAAGAAAGTTTTTCATGATCATATATGAGTTTGTCGGATAATGTATATAAAAATGATTATTTTTAATCAACAATACACAAATATTTACACTTATATAATCTAATTTACTATTACATTGCCATAACTCTTGTACATCCGGAGTTACTTCCGGTAGATTTATGACGAACCTTAACCACCTTAACGTAAATCTGGTGAATTAAATACTGTGTCACGTAGTACACGTACGTACGTACGTATAAATACATGCCGTGTGGATGAGTAAGTCGTACACATTTTTTGACTAAGACTAGCACATAAAAAAAATCATGACAAATAAAGCAGAAAATAAATGGCTTGAAGAATCTATTTCCGAAGGGCATATTAACTATATAGAATATAATAAATTTACAGACCCTATTGTGATCGGTATTGGAGGCTTTGGAAAGGTTTTTAAATGTGAGTGGAAAGAAAGTGAATTAACAGTTGCTCTTAAATGTCTTAGAGTCGAGAGAAGTGTAGATGAAAAAATCATTAAAGATTTTATTAAAGAGGTATTATTTATCATATTAACACTTTAATTGCATCCTATTACAGAGTAATAAGTTCTTTATTAAATTAATATAATTCTAATAATTAGCTTAAACTATTACGAAGAGTTTGTCACCATCCAAATGTTATTACGTTTTATGGGGTCACTAAAGGTAAATAAGTTGTTTATGTTTTTCAGGATATTAAATAATAACCAAAATTTATCAAATCGAATATATAGATAGTAGCGAATACTATAATATGGTTTTACAATATGCTTCTGAAGGAACTTTACGAGAATATCTAAAAGCAAATTTTACAAAATTACATTGGGTAGATAAATTTCGTATCGCTAAAGAAATTACACTCGGACTTTCGTTCTTACATAGTAATAATATTATTCATCGAGACCTTGTAAGTATTGTATATATTATTATATTTTATATTAATTATAAAATTTTAATCATTAATTCATTAATATTTTAATAATTTTAGCATTCAAAGAATATCTTAATCCATCAAGAGAGACCAATGATTACAGATTTTGGATTATCAAAACAGTTAAATGAGACGTCCATGGCGACCTCAGGCTCAAAAGCCCATGGAATGCTAGCTTATATTGATCCAAATTGCTTTACCGATCCAAAATATATACCTAATGAGAAATCTGATGTCTATAGTTTTGGAATAATCCTATGGGAAATTTCAAGTGGTAGGCAGCCATTCGAATCCTTCAATGGCTATATTATAATTGGGTTTATTTCGGAAGGGAGAAGAGAGGAGCCTATCAAAGGCACGCCGTTACAATATATTGAACTTTACAAGCAATGTTGGGACAAAGATCCTGCTAAACGCCCAGAGACGAAATCAATTCTTAATACTTTAAAACAACTCGCTACTGAAGATTTAAATCAATCTGCCATTGACGAAAATTCAAAAGGAAATATTGAAAGCTCTTCAAATTCACATATTAATCCAAACGATTATCCGTTATCTGATCCACCTTATCTACCTGATTATGACCAAGACAGTATCATTCTTGAAAATAAGAGAGAGGAAGCACATGAATATTTTAATCAATGTAAATTTCTCGAAGCATTAGAGCTTTACAATGAAATTCTCAAAAATAAACAACATAGTGTTGAAGATAAAAAAATTGCTTCAACGTGGCATATTCTGTATGGCAAATGTGGATTGGAAAATTTAAATGAATTAACAAAGGCACTTTGCAAGAATACTACGGTGACTTCTTTGAATCTTCATGATAATAAACTTGGATCAGAGGGAGGAAAAGTACTAGCAGATGCTCTTTGCAAGAACACCACGCTGAAAGATTTGGATCTTAGTTTTAATAATCTTGGATCAGAAGGAGGCAAAGCACTAGCAGATGCACTTTTCAAGAATACTACGCTAACTTCTTTAAATCTTGCTACAAATAATCTTGAATCAGAGGAAGGAAAAGCATTAGCTGATGCACTTTGCAAGAACACCACACTGACTTCATTGAACCTTGAAAATAATAATCTTGAATCACAAGGAGGAGAAGCATTAGCTGATGCACTTTGCATGAATACCACGCTGACTTCTTTAGATCTTCAATATAACAAACTTGGATCAGAAGGAGGAAAAGCATTAGCTGATGCTCTTTGTAAGAACACTACGCTAAAAAATTTAAATCTTAGTTTTAATAATCTTGAATCAGAAGGAGGAAAGTCGTTAGCAAATGCTCTTTGCAAGAACACCTCTCTGATTTCTTTGGGTCTCCAATATAACAGACTTGAATCAGAAGGAGGAAAAGCATTAGCAAATGCACTTTGCGAAAACAAGACGTTGAGAGATTTGAATCTTAGTTTTAATAATCTTGGATCAGAAGGAGGAAAGGCATTAGCTGATGCACTTTGTAAAAACTCTACGTTGAAAGATTTAAATCTTTATGGAAATTATCTTGAGTCAGAAGGTGGAAAAGCATTAGCAAATGCACTTTGCAAAAACACCACGTTAACTTCGTTGAATCTTGAGAATAATAATATCGGGTCTGAAGGAGGAAAATCATTAGCTGATGCACTTTACAAGAACTCCACACTAACTTCTTTGGATCTTCAACATAACGGGCTTGGATCAGAAGATGGAAAAGCATTTGAAGCTGCGCTTTACGAGAACGTTACTCTAACTTCTTTAGATCTTAGACAGAATAATATTAAATTTAAATTAAACCCAAACAATCGAAATATAGAAATAATACAATAAGTGTAATAAAATGTATCTGAGCTGACAAATGTATACTATATAAATTTCAGCTCTCTGACTCATATAATGAGTTTATCTGGGTATTAAGATGCAGCAGTTTTCTATAACGAATTTTTTTCCTTTCAGAACTATCAGTTCGTCATAGAGTGGATTGATTGTAATTTTTTTTGTGAAAAGGTAAAGTTAAACTTATATAGAAAGCTAAATCACACTTTTTCCTCACATAAATAAAAAATGCATTGTCGTATTTTTAACAGATAAACTAATTTTTTTATAAACATAAAAGTAAAAACATTACTATTGACCATCGTTATTGACTTATTAAAAAATCTGTACGTTCTTCATTAGAAAAATTTTTAATACAATTGCAAAAAATTAAATACTAAAATGAAAATTTGCGCAAAACTTCAGACTTAGCAGCTATAGCCACAGAAATTAAATTCATTTCTGTGTAAAAACTTCAAATTATAAAAAATTTTGTAGTTTTTTGTGAACAATTTTGTAAAAAATTGCATTTTTGCAGATTTAAACTTTTAATATTATTGATTTATTTAAAAAATCTAATTATTGTATTCATTATACAGTTAAACTATATAAACAATTTTTTTATGTTAATGCTGTATTATTATCTAAGCAAATATTTTTTACAAACTTTCATCAGGAAAATTAAATGTGTATTTTTTTTGTTTTTTTTTTGTGTCAATTTAGAAACTTTATTAAGATAATAATAACCTGATACAATATTTTATATTTTAATACAGTTATACCTCTTTATAATCACACGTTACTAAATTGCATTTTGAATTATGACACCAATCATTAGCTTAATTGTTTATTATTTTGCATTTAGATTGCAATACTGTATATTTTTTATATAATATACAGATTAATACGTTATTTTATAACAATTTTTACATTATTTTAGTATAACTTTATTGTAATATTTTAATATTTGGATTGTTTGATTTTATGATAAAATTAAGATTATTTAATATAACATACAAAGAAGTTAGGGTGGTGTTCTTGCAAAGTGCATTTTCTAATGCTTTCCCTCCTTCTAATCCAAGTTTATTATCAGTAAGGTTCAAATCTTTCAGCGTAGAATTCTTGCAAAGTGCATCTGCTAATGTTTTTCCTCCTTCTAATCCAAGTTTATTACAAGCAAGGTTCAAATATTTCAGCGTGGAGTTCTTGCAAAGTGCATCTGCTAATGCTTTTCCTCCTTCTGATCCAAGATTATTATATCGAAGATTCAAAGAAGTCAGAGTTGAGTTCTTACAAAGTGAATCTGCTATGCTTTTCCTCCTTCTGATCCAAGTTTATTATCCCAAAGATCCAAAGAAGTCAAAGTGGAGTTCTTGTAGAGTACATCTGCCAATGCTTTTCCTCCTTTTGATCCAAGATTATTACCAGTAAGATTCATATTTTTAAGCGTGGAATTCTTGCAAAGTGCATCTGCCAACGCTTTTCCTCCTTCTAACCCAATATTATTATGATCGATATTTAAAGAGATTAAGATAGTATTCTTGCAAAGTGCATCTGCTAATGCTTTTCCTCCTTCTGTTCCAAGGTTATTATATTGAAGATTCGAATCTTTCAACGTGGAATTCTTGCAAAGTACATCTGCTAATGCTTTTCCTCCTTCTGATCCAAGC